TAACATGGTTCCCTTGTCATAAGCCATTTTCATCCACATTCTGCACAATATTAAGATGTTTCTCCCATGTAGCGCACAACATCCACTCCTCCACCTCACTACTGGAATAACAAAATAATAATTTGGTTAGCTGAGCTGAGGAAGCTGCCTACGTAGATCAGGAGCAGGTCGGAGACACCAGTGACTATGGAAGACGGACTATTACCTGAGCTTTTCTCACCTCTGTGCATCCCTGCGTTACATAGACTTTGTACTGGCAGGTTAAACACAGTTTACTGTCTGATCTGAATATGTCAGGCTTACGTCCTAATGTGCACCTTTGTTGCGCAATGTCTAGAAAAGTGCAGGGCTCTGCTGATTGCGTGACAAGGCACTATATCACTACTTCTGTCTTTTCACAACCCTTTGCGACCGAGTTGTAGTCCTGTCTGACTAATGGACAAAAATCAGCCTAGGTTTGCTTTGTCTCTTAACTTTGTTTTAGGCCGATTTACGATACTTTCAATATCGATAAAAGTGAAGCCCTGCACGCCGGGTGTCTATGCAGCGCTGACATATGGGAAAGCAAAAATCTAAACCTCCCCCTCTGGCAGGGAGAGACATTCAGGCTTAGAAGGCCTGAGGAAGTATTGCTTGCTAAGCATAGTGATTTGGAGGGAAGGGGAAGCACTCTCTAAAGCATATGCCATGATTTATTCACGACTTTACTCTGATCTGAATTGCATCAGAGAAGTGACTCAACCATTATGTGGACAGAGCATTTACTCCAAGGCTCAGAGGCCATCTCAGTGACTGGCTTTTGTTTGTCTGCTTGTGTGCGTCTGTGTCTGTGTGCAGTTTACATCTGGAAGCTCTGTTTTAAACAAATTCACATATAAGGTCAAGTGGTAACATCATTATTATCATGTTAACACAATTTATGGTTTCGGGTGTCAACTTCATCTTCTGGAAAATCCTCTATGGGCGGAGATGGAATATACAAGCTGGGGAGGATCTGTCAAACTTGAGTCATGCTGAATCATTTTTGACTATGATGTTTTTTTCCTGTCGCGCAACAGATTCCCAGAAATGCCTAGCTTGGTTCCAGTTAGGAGTTACAAAAGCTAAATTGACAGTGATGAAGAAAAATGCTGCTACTGTGACCTGACTGAGTTCATCTGGAATATCCCTACTGTGAAAGACAACCACAAGTGCGATAGGGAAAAGTGTGGAATGTTTATGACAGTTAGGTCACTGGCGATAGCACAGAAACTGAGCACTTGTTTACGTGAGGGAAAATTCCAGCCACCATCCTTTTCTTCATTAAAGTCACTGATTAACCACACTGTACTGGCTGTACTTGTGATAATCGCACTCCACAGAAGTGTTATATGTTGAACCCACTGGCAAAGTGTCCTTGCTTGCTTCCCAACTCCACAATAAAGCCGACCTGCTCTTGTCACAGAGATCACTAGGGGGTGGGAGAGGGATTTTGATGTAGTTACACTGAGCATAGACTCAATAAATGGAAGTCTTTATGGCAGGTTATTATAGGGCGCTTGATACCACTTTGAGGAAGGTCAATGGGCAGGTTTAAATTTAAAGTGTGCGGAGCCAGCTGTAATCACTCTACTCGATCGTGGTACAGTAATTGCAGACCAGGGAGCTCATCTCGATGAACAAACATTAGCCTCTGGAGGTTATCAGAGGGTCCGGATTAAGTGGAAGTTGTCTGATGCGACGATGGGAAAGGGCGGAAAAAATAAAATAAAATTGGGAGCCCTGCTTGATAACCACAGCAACGAGAAGTGAATGCACATGCCATTAATCCAGTAAATTAATCTCGACCACAGTACACCAGCTGGGTGTAAAACCATAAAAGATAAATATGTTAGGTAATCAAAACTGGGAGAAAGAGAAATGAGAAAGCCATCCAGGCAAAAGCAAGGAACTATGGACGGACAGTCGTAAGCTAGAAAAGAAACAGACGCTTCTAGGTTGCAAAAAACATCACTGCAACTACAACTATTTGTCAGGAAGTGTGTGAAATTGTCAACTACGCAACAAATGTTGTTGTTGTTTTTGTTTTTTAAAAATGGTGAAACCAGTTCATAGTTTTGAAAACGAAGATTTTTGGTTTTCTCATTTACTGAACTGTTCATATCATGTGTGGATTGCAAGCAGCAACACATCCTGAAAGTGATAAAACCTGCAGTTCTACTAGTGGCCACTTGGACTCCAAGACAGCGAGTCGATTCCCATAAAGCTCCTTATTAAAATCCCCAACAGCTTGTACATAAAAATAAATTTGGTCTTTGAGTTTAAAATGCCAATCTGCAGACTTCTTCAAGGTATTCACGCAAGCTTTAGGTGAGGTTGCTGTGGGTAGAGGGCCATCTTTTTATGGCATGCATATACAGCTGAAACAGCAGTATGTGGTTATGTAGATCTGCTTACAACTGCAGTACTTAATAGAACAATGCTTGGGTTAAACTTGTAAACAAGCAGCAGACTTCTGGTTTGGACAGCCTGGAGTTACAGTAAAGTGGATATAGTGAGGGTAGAACTCAATCCCGGCTCTGACTTCTTCTTTTCCTCTTGCCTGCTCAAACTCGCCAGGTTATACTGACCAAGCTTAATGTGTTTTCTAAACGAGCTGACACTGTGAACGTTTTCAAAGAACTCACCGGACCATTTCATGACTGAATTAATAAATGAAGTGCTTCCTGGAGGGGGGCATGTCAAATAACAGTGAACCCATAACAGTGAACCCTGCAGGCTGCACATTAGAAACACCGGCTGCTAACGACCTGCGACTTTAAAAAACCCCCAACAAGAACAATAAACCCCCCACACCTGTGTGACCTGCACCTGTCAGTGAACGGAGCTGAACAACCACAGCTTCATATCCTGATTGAGGCTTTCTCAACATGTGCCTGCTCTGATCAGGAGCCCAAACAGCTGCTGCAGTTTTTTTCTTTTTGCATATATAACAATGGTTTCATGTCCTGAAGGCAAATAGTGGATGAACATATAGGCAAATATGCTGCACTCTAAAATACCATTCACATTCACGTTTCCACTTTGCCATGTTAAATAAATACTGATGTGTTTAGCCGGTGTCTATTTCGTCAGTTTCCCCCATGAAACCTACACTTATGTCACACTTACCTGAGTCACAAGTCCCCGAGCATGGTTTTCTACTTTTCTCAACCGGTTTCCACGCCAAAACACTGCGACCGAGAACTACTTCTACCTGCCTGTGCTTCTGAAAGAGCTGCGATGACAGTAACGTGACTTGTTTCTCCATATTACCGATCCTAGGTGTCACTCGTTACGCCGCTGGATGCTCCTCATTGCAACTTTATTATCGCCCGCGCGTGCCAAGTGTCTGCGCTGTTTGCAGTGGTTACGCCGGTCGGCCTGAGCCGTCAGGGAAAGGGAGGGGGGGAACTTAGGATGAAGATCGTGTATGAGAAAGATGACTCACTCAGTAATAAAAATCAACCTGGTCTAATAATAATAATAAACTTTATTTATAAAGCACACTTAAAACCAAGGTGCTTAACAAGTAACATAGAGAATAAAAGGAAGATATAGAAATAGAAATGTGACCATAATATGAAAAAAATAAATTTAGAGCCTTTTTGGGAAAACTTTGTTGACTCCATTTACATGTGCATTTATTGCGAGAGGACATTCACTACAATCATCTTTGTTTTGTTTTTCTTTTTTAACTGCAAGCATTAAAACATTCTTCTCTAAAGAGGTATGTGCCACCCTGCCTAGGCCTCATGCCCCTCCTTTGCCCCCATGTAAAATTTTAACGATCCACCACTGATTATGACTCACAATGTAAATAACATAAAGGGAAAATTAGGGCAGAGTGAGACCTCTTACCTTTAAGGCTACCAATTTCAAAACAAAGTATCTACAAGGGTAAGCGTGTGTACGGAAGATTAGGGCCACTGGGAAAATAAAAACAGGTCTGAATTCTGAGAATAAAAAGGTCTGAATTCTGAGAAAAAAAGTCTAATTTCGGAGAAAATTTGATTAATGTTGGAATTCTGACTTTTTACTCAGAATTGTGAAAATAAAAAACAAAAGAACATTTGTTTTTCCCTGTTCTGTACATATGAGCACACTGACTCTGACTTAAAGCATTTGCCTTTTAACAAAACACACTCTAGAAGCAAGTCTCACCACTAGATAGATAGATAGATAGAAACAAACAGCAAATACAAACTAAACTTTATGCAGGTTGCCTTCATTGGCACTAGCTGTAGATATGTACACGTAACAATAACAGTGGGTTGTTTTTCTGATGAGCGGAGCTAGAACTTAGCAGAACAGAAAGGCCAAACGTGTTGTTTACTGAGTCAAGTCATCCTCATATTCACATAGTTACTCCACCATGATAATCCATTTGCTGTAATACTGTAATATTAACTATTACTTTATACAGCCAGTTTATTAAACATTTAGTTGATATGTGGCTTCCAGGACAGTTTATTGTTTATTATAGCCTCAAAAAAGCATCATTCAAGTTTAATTTCCAAATTCCCAAGCACATAAAACCTGTATTAATAGAATCACCTGTCAGTTCACCAAGTTCATAAAATAAGTTTGAAAAGCCTAAAATAAACCTGACTTTATTTTATACATAGTGAGAACCAACATTCAATATATGGCATCACACAAACTACAGATTTATATTACAAAAATTGTATGAGAACCGATCTATTTAAAGATTCTGCCTGAAAAACAATGTATACATATTATATGAACATTTCTAAATATCCAAAAAACCCTCCCATGATCCTGTCCATGTATTTTCGTTGGTGATGCTGTATGCCTGCCCTCTGGTCCTGATGCTGGAGGGTCTCTTTGATTCACAGTCGGAGTTTCTGTCAACACAGCAAAGGCCGTGGAGCATGACGTCAGCGTCCTATTAAAAAAATGCTCCTACCGACAACCAGATCTCACTTGTGATTGGGTTACAGTGAGGAAGTGTCACCCCAGCCAATCACAGTCGCGTTTACTTGCCGATTAGGCAGTATCAACATGGCAGCTTTCTGAGTTTTGGAGGAGGGGAGCTGGTGTAAATAAACAGACATTTAACATTTTTGAGATAACGACAGCGTCGGGGTGTTTGAGTTTAGGACTGAGTGGACCGCTGCGGGAAGATGTCGAGCGACGGAAACAAAAAACAGTTCTGGAAAAGGAATGCAGCGAAGGTTCCTGGCAGGTGAGTGACGTGTTCCCTCCTGCTTGTTAGCTTAGCGTAGCTAGCTTCACTCATCTGACGCTGCGCTGCTGCTCTTCAAACGCCAACTTTCACTTTGATTGTTGGGGCTTTGCTGTTGGACAAAGTTCCCATTCTTGTCACTGGCCAACGTCTGTGGTAAAAACGTCTCGTAGACGCATTTTACCCCTTGCAACTGTTAGCTAGGCTAAGAGCTAGGCTGCTAACAGTGGCTAATAGTTCATCAGTACTCCGTCGCAGAGTTGTAACTAATGACACAGTAACTATTTCACAACACGAGTAGTCAAGGTCTCACGGCAAATTATTGCACTTCGGGTCACACGGAGTCTCACTCCTGCAGTTTAAACTGGTATTGTTTTAAATAGCTTAAAGCTAACATGCTAGCTTGCCAGCCAGTGATCGAATAGTTCATTCATTTCCATTCTATCTTTTCCACTTCCTCAGCATTCAGCATGTGTACGGTGCACAGCATCCACCCTTCGACCCGCTCCTTCATGCAAAGTAAGTTAAACCGACTTCCTTGTTGTAAAAATAAATACCATGTGATCTTGGTGAAGTTCTCTGGCCCAATGTCAGTTTTTGTGTCATGTGATAAACTAGACTTCAAAGCCCAATTGATGTCGACCCGGTACTTTGCTTCAGATTAAAAAAAGTGATGTACTGTTGAGTGGAGAAAAAAAACTGTCCCTACCATGGGAAATTATTATTGTTTTGTGTTAATAATGGTTGGTTTTGGAAAAAAAGTTATTATCCATTTAGATTAGGTCATTCTCTTTGAATGGGGCGTAACTGTATACTTGTGTTTTGTTTTGTTTTTTGCTTGAGTTGTGTTGTTGTCACTAGCAGAAATCATTTGCCTTATGCTGAAGGTTTAAAATCAATGATCTGTCTCAGTTGTTCCATCTGTATCAGATGCTGAAACCAATGTTTTATTGATGCTTACCACTTTGGGGGGGTTACTTCATGAAATCATGAAAAAATACCTAAATGTCTTTCAGCTCTTTTTCACACTACTTTTAAACATTTTGCCAGCACAAAATTAATTTGTCATAACAAAAGAAAAAAGATTCTGCCTCTGCTGTCTCTGCTCTGTTCACCCTGTCTATACTCCAGCTGTCAGTCAGTGTGTCTGTTTGGTGGACGATACACACGGCAGACGGGGTGAACCCTGCTGTTAGGTTACATTCACATCAAATCTGGTTGTCTGGCGCCTTCCTGAAGGATTACATGGAGGTGTGGCTCTGTTTGTGTGATAACACAAAATTACTGTGGGGATTAACTTATTTCTCTAGTTTACTTCTTTGTTTTGGTTAATGCCTCCCTGCAAACACCACCGACCATCATTGCCTTCTCCCACAGTAACCAGTAGGGCTGTTCGATATAACGATATATATCGGATGCCGATATAAAAACGTCTATCGTTTCATTTTACGCTATCGTTTGTTTCGTGGTGTCGCAAAATGAACTGTTTACAACAATATTCTTTCATCGTTTTGATGGTCACTGTAGTGGCTATATTAATTTCTTAAAGTTCTCTCTTTCTCTTATATTTAATATAACCACACTACAGACGGACAAGCGCCTGTTTTTATGCGTTGTGGTTAGCAACAACGATGGTAACACCATCGCGTGTCCGCTTGTTTATGTTCCACATAAACCTTTCACCATAAAGCTCAAGATCCTGTTGAGACTTTTCAAAATAAACTGAACCACGTGAAAGAGCAGATTATTTACGGATGAGAAGCAAAAAAAGAGCCGCCAGGTGCTAAAAAATAAACCTTAGACTCAAACGTTAGAACAGGCTTTTCCCCGCAGCACGCCGTGTATAAATACTCAAAAAGAAAACGGCGGCCGTTACAACTTATGTTTAAAACTGTATAGTTTCATGCATCTGTTAAAACACTCGACTCCAGCTACATGACGCGCAGCTGGAAACACTTCCCGCAAGTCGAGCTGCCCGAGATTCACAGAATTTACAGAAAATGTTACATTTTTGTGATTTATATCGTTATATGATTTTGGTCATATCGCACAGCCCTAGTAACCAGCACTTTCTGCTTTATGTCATAAGCAGATTGTTCTGTTTGTTTTTTTATCAGTTTCTGTGAGATAACTGATAAATGGCTCAAATGCTATAAGTAGGCTACTTGAGCAATTTGACCAATTTGAAATGTTCATTATTGCACCTTCAGTTTACCGGACCTTGTGAAAACGCAATCCTGTGAGCAGCAATGTTTTTTGTGGGGAAAATAATTTATGTACACTTAAAAAGGCGGCTAATTTCAGCTTATTTAAAGGTAGGCCTGTTTTATCCAATGTATTGGTGCTGAGATAGATTTCTTCTACCTCAGTTTGTCACGGCACAAAACGCTCAGGTGTGGCTGAACGGTTGCTGTATTTTTAGCCACATCCCAGTGACGAATGTGGATGTATATGTTTTTCCATTGCACAACTGACGAATGAACATACCATCTGTGACATCATGGGCTGGGTTGAGCCTATTATTACTTAAAGTTACTTCAATGTGTGTAATGTCATTTGTCGAGTCTTTCAGTTATAATTCTGGTAATCTTCTGTTTTGCACTTTGAAACTGCAGAACTGGAATGACCACAGAGGCAGTGACTCTACAAGAAAGTCCAGTCATTTTGTGACTGGGTAAACAAGTTGAAGACAGTTGAGCAATTCTAAGCCTTGATTATACTTTCTGTGTCTGCATGTCCACTAAGGCTCCAAGTGATGTAAATTTCATCATTAGATGGTGGGCACAAGGGTCTGTGTGCACGTCTGCGTGCCTGTCTGTTAATTGTGATTGTCTGCGGAGAGTTGTCATTACAGTGCTCCAACTATACATGCTCATGTGTGGTTGGAGCATAGCAGCTCTCCGTGTCCATGTCTGCAATAGAGTATAATCAATAGTGATGAAACTGTTGATTCTAATATAAGTAGTATTGGTATCAAAGCTGGTATTGGTATTGGATCAATACTGGTGAGATACCTTGTTTCTGTCCTCAAGGTTCAGTATGTATCCCACTAAACTGTTTTGAAAAAGATTATTTTTATTGGAAATGAGGGAAAATATATCTCAAAAGCACTAGTGCTGGGCGATATGACGATATATATCGTGTGGAGGATAGAAAAGTGTCTATCTTGCCATTTGTCTTCTATCGTTTCTAACCCAAATTTTAGATATTATTACATAAAATATATAATTAACCCTTTACAACCGGTCGGAGCAGGCACACTCCGTTTAACCCAACTATTTTTAAATCCCTGTAGAACTGGAACCACGTAAGGTAGTGCAATAAATTTTTTTGCATGTGAAACCGGAGGAGTTGTACTTACATCTTATGCCATTAGCTTGTCCTAGGTCACGGTTTCCTTCCACATATAGCTTTGCAAAAATTGTATAAGAAGAAAAAAGCAAAAACATAATATTCCAGAAACACGCTTTGCTGATGTTCATAGCACTTCCTACGTTGGCATGTACGTCAACGCGAACTATTGCATGTCCGCCATTACCTGCCCGAAACTGGAAGTGACGTCATTTTTGCGAAAGGGCCTTATTAGCCTTTGTTGGTGTTTTTAAAAGTCATGTTAGACTTTATGCTTTTCTGTATAGTTTCTGGGATGGTTAGAACTCAAATTACACTGTTGGAAATAGTTTATTTTGATGCATTATAATATTTATTTTCATTTTTCCTGTAGTATATAAAAATTAGTGTATCTCAAAAATAAAACTATGAAGACACTCAAAATAAATTTCTCGTGGTTGGAAAGTATTTTGTATTTACAGTTTTGAGGGATACACCTCTTAATTATTTCTAACTAGAAATATATGTAAAAAAACTAAACAAACGATTTTCAATTGTTTTTGTAGTTAATTGCACTACAATTTTTTTGCAATTTATGTAGTTATTATGGACTTAATGCATACATATTATTAAAATTTGGGCTATAATGGTTGTATTGATATATGGAAACTTGAAATGCTCCCACAAATGGGACTACAGCATGTAAAAACATAAAGATAAGCTCTGGCGGACTTGGTTCTATGGTAGGTCTTAAAGGGTTAAATAGCCTGTGGCAAATATATTAGTGTTGTCTTCTCACTATACATGCTCTTAACTTTATGCAAGAGAAAATAAAGTATAAAAAAAAATGATATTTTTCGCAACGAAACTCCGTCTCGTGCTTTGCGAGCTGGTGCTGCTGTACGTGCACCCGGATTTGCGACATACTTTACGGTAACTCAAACCACAGGTCAGGTGGTATATCATTATATATATCGTTATCGTGATATAAAATAATTCATATCGTGATAAATATTTTTTCCATATCGCCCAGCACTAAAGAGCACTATAAAAATATATCTTTAAACAGAATTTGACCCAAAGTCTTTTAAAGGAAGACACAATCAAATTCCAGGTCTAAAGCAAAATCCAACTTCAAAATACATGAAAAGCTGAAAGGTCTGTTTTGTTGTTAGCTAATTATTGTGGAAAATAAATAAATATTTAGTGTTCATTAAAAAAATGTTCATATTGATGATTCATCTTGTAAATCATAACACATTGCTCTCCCTTCCATAGGCTGTCTATAAGCTGAAAGTCTCAGTATTGGTGTCGGAAATATTGACTTCTTATTTTTTTTGGTTTTGGATTAATATCAAAAATTGCTTTAAAGTAATTTGAGAAACAAATTGTGTGGACAAAAGAAAGTTTCACATTATCAAAAAATAAAAGTGGGGCCTTGAAGTTTGTCTATACAGATGTCCAGTGTGTTGTAGAATAGTATAGCATACCATATAGTGGCATTAGCAGTGTCTCTAACATTAGTAGAGGTGCAGCATTTATGAAAGTCTAGGCAGATACCAATAATATTGTTTAAAATGATAGCTTTCATGGCATACATACAGTACAGCACAGCTTAATTTTAAGTGGCCTGAACTGGACCGTTAATACTAGTGTCCTGTAAACTATTGAAAAACACAACTTGTGCCCCTTTCTTTTAGAGTAGCATTCAAAGAAGTGCTAGTGTAACAAATAACGCCTGTCAGCACAGCTCTATGGGCTGTGGGCTTGCAACTGTAAGAAATAAATGAGTAAAATCACAAAAACCCAGACTATTTTTATTTCTAAAACAATAATTTTCTGTCAATTTGCAAAAAAAAACATTTTTCTTTTTATCGTGAGCTCACTGTTTTTGTTTGTTTGTTTTAAGAAAAAGAAAACTTTGTTGACAACAGGAAATGGCTAGATCCTTTCTCTCTTTTTAATAGAATACTAACAAAGCGAAACACATCTACTTCAGTCATTTACTGGTTTATCTTTTACTTAATTGGTTTGGTGTAGTATGCCAGACCATAGGTAATGACTTCAGAACTGATGAGAATACAGTTAAAAGCTCTCCTCTGACAAACTTAACAGCTTAAGAGTTTTGCAGTCAGCAATGTGTCTGTGCATTCATTTTATAATTTCACTTGAGGTTTGTCACTTACACTCACATTTACTTTAGTAAACTCACTTCTGAGCAGGACATAGTGTAGAGTTCTTTTTCTCTCTGGATTTCTCTCATACACGCACTCAAATAGAGGGGAACACAGTCTCCTCTTCAGTAATAACCCTTTTCTTTCTTCTGATTAATGTTTACTCGTGTAGATTTCCACAGAGGGTTGAAATTAATTTGCGTGTTTTCAAACTTTCCCTTTCTTTTGAGTTAGGATGGAAGTTGGCCAACGTGTACACGTCTCCTGGTTCTTTCTTATGGTAATAACCGTCTTTGTAATAGGGAAATTACAGTTCGGGGGTGGTAGTGCTTTGGCAGACCGTGTGCATCTTCAGACTGCAGAGAGTGTCTGTTGTCAGATGAGGGCAGTGTCAAAAATGTGGTACAACCGGTCTGTTGTACACTTCTTGCTTGTGCTGCTGTCAGTCCTTCATGTTATTTTGATGCTTTTCCCATTCCTGGTAAACACCGCTGCCGCTCACTTCCCTGTTCCAGCTCACTCGTCAGCCAATCAGCATTTGACAGACACACCGCATGATCCATGTCAAGCAGCGTGCAGTTAGGATTTTGTAGGCAAATAGCAAAAAATTGTGTTACAGATGAAAACGGAGCTAAATTAAACTGTATCCTTGCAGCCTCAATAAAGTAACTCAAAGAAATTTTAAGTAACTCAAAGAAACTTTTAAGCTAATGATGTACTTCAGTTAATGTGTCTCTGTGCACGTGTGTGCTTTTGTACATGTGGTAATTCGCACACTGGGTTGATTCGTGAACTGGGTCTGCACGCAAGGGTGATCTGAAGTAATCCTTAAACCTGTAAAATAAGCCAAAGATATGTTTGGAGGGGGAAAAAAAAGAGCAGTGTTATATGAAAAGAACACCTTGCAAAGTGTTCAGCATGGGGGTGGAATTATTCCGCTTCGGGCCTGTGTGCATGCTGTTGCACAGGCAGGCGTTACACGGATAGAAAGAGACGAAGGGATTCCGCTAAATCGCTGCAGATTGTGGATAGAATTATGAAGAAGTCAGTCAAGGAAGTGAAACTGATCCAAAACATGCTTCGAAATACACCACGACCTACCTCAGGAAACAGAAAGTAGAAAGCGGTAAAACCATGCTGTGCGTACATCACAGCCTAAACATGGATCAAACTTGAAGTGAAAATTACATAATGAATGGACAGACACACAGCTGTCTGCAGCACTCTTTTAAGCTGTTGTGTCTGTCAAAGCGGCACTTTTGCAATTAAAAGTATCCTACTGACTTGGAAAGGCGTCCAAAATGTTGTCCCTGTAAGAAGAACTGTTTATTTGGTTTATAAAATAAAAAGGTAGCAGTCATTAATAATTGAAGAATGACTCATATTGATTTGCTTATTGATTTTACCTAAAAGCTGTCCTTTTGATTGGTACCGGGATTAGCTTTACTAAAATAAAGCTAAGCTGAGTGTTTTTGTGTAAAATTGAAATATTTTACAATATGTGAACGACAAATGCTAGCTCATTTATTAATTCCTAATTTTAATGAATTATTCATCTCACATTCTCTTTTCTCTTGTTTTCTTTCCTTCTCTCACCCTCTGCACCCATCCCTTTTCTCTTCTTTTTTCGAAAACCACTTCTTTTTCCCCCCATTATCCTGTTTTTCTCTCTGTCCTTCAGTCTGATCAAAGCAGGCAACAAGCCTCCTCCAGCCACTCCAGGCAAGCCCAAGAAGGCGACCACCTTCCAGGAGTTTGAGAGCATCACGAGCGACGCCTGGGATGTCGGGGATGATGACGACGAGCTGCTGGCCATGGCTGCGCAGAACCTCAACATCGAGGTGGTCATGGAAACAGCCAATAAGGTAAACTACTTTAAAGCAGTTTTGCCTGATTGATGTCTTTCCACTGCAGTAGCACATTTTCCTATGTCTGTGTAGAAGGAAGCACTCATCACGAATCAACACAGCTTCAGTGTATTTTGTGAAATACTAATGATTCTTTTGTTCTGGGTATTCATTTGCTAGCGTTTATTCATATTTTTGAACACAGTTTTTCATCTCTGCTATTTTACATGTTCTTATTTGTGTCCATAAATAATATGTAGCAACTTTTAAAGGGCAAATAGGTTCATATTTGAAGGCTGGAGGTGTTGGTAGGTAAGCTCACAACATGAACACTTCATTTCTATTGTTTTAACATACATATCATTTGAAATACACGATTAATTATCATTAAAAATGACTTGGATAGGCCCTTAAATCTACAGCGTTAGTTTTAAAGGAATGTCATGGTAAAGTCTTCTTTTAAAGCGCCCTTGTCTTGGTTGCCAGGGTGATGTGTCCTCTCTGAAGAGTCTGGACAACATACATGCTGCAGACATAAAATAAACTTCCTGTTAAAATAGATTCCTCTCTAAACTATGCCGCCTGCCATGAAAGAAATGGTACAAGTTGTGGCCTTGAGCGCAAACAATTCAATGGCTTTTTTAAAGATTATTTCAGATTTTGCTGCATTTGCTGAAATTAAAATATTGGAGATTTACTAAGGATAGTGTGTTCATTAACTGAGGTAAGGACAACTTTTAACAAATTGAAAGATTTTTCTTTTCATAGAGTTATTATGCATTTTATCTTTAAGAGGGGAAATTTTACAAAATTGCACAGTTTGCATTTCTCTCAAGCAAGTAGCAGCTGCAAAAAAAAAAAAAACCAACATGTTAGTTTACTCATCTAAGCGAGTTGTACGCCTTATGTGTTCTGGGGAGGTTACCAGCCTTAAGCTCACCAAGGTTTCACCTTGTTTTTCTATCTGCTGAACAGGTGATTGAGAATCACAGCAAGCAACAGGAGAAACAGAGGCAGGATGAGACATCAGAGCTGGACCGAAGAGAAGACGACACACAGGAGGAGGTGGCAGAGGACGACGAGGACAATGAAGAAGAGGAAGAGGAGGACAGGGTGGAAGAGGGAGACGCGACCAGCCCTGAGGTATTATTTGGATCCCAGAGCAGCCCTTACACTGATGGCCGCCTAGTGAAGTCCCACAGCGAAGCTCCAATTGGGTCACCTAAAGGTTAGTGAGCACCATTACTCAGTGTTCTGCGAGGTTTTTTCTTTTTTTAAGCCCAAGTGTTCACTAAGAGAAATTTCTGCAACGATACACTTAAATCCGTAAATGAGTTTCTGAGGAGGGCAATACATGGAAGGTGAATAGGGCATCTTTTAGAAAATGTCACCGCTGTAACTTCTAATGCAACGCCATAAATAGGTTTGTTGCTTTGCGAAAAATCCATTAAACACAATTAAAAATGATCGACATAGTTAGGTTTTTAGTGATGATGCACTTTTTATAAGCTCAGAAAGTTGGAGTGTTTGTGGCGCCAGTATTTTTAGTGGGATTTATTTACTGTGCCTCACAGCTGCTTTGAGACTTGGCAGATGTTGTCATTCTGCAGTGAGAACATCTGCTAAGACTGCTAATGTTGTACTTTGAGCAGACGTGTTTGTGTAGTGCTCAGCATGAAAATTACTTTAAATTTAATTCAGTGAAAAATTGTAGAATTTATCATTAACATCACTTCAGGAATAAGAAAATAAATAAAACAGTAATTCACCCGAGTTCCGCTAATTTAAAGTCTTGAAATTAGTTGAATTATATTGCTGAAATTGAACTCAAAAAGCAATTCAATACAATTCAAAAAGCATAAATAGGAGATGGAAAGTTAAGCTATTACTGCTTCTTTTCATATTATTGAGAACCGTTCTTTTCTATGTTGAAGTTCAGTCACCACACACGCATATTTTTAACTGTCAAATGGTAAAAAGAGTAGCTACAATATCACATTAAACCTCAGCCACAGGGGCCTAGAGCCTGGTTGGCAACCACCAAGCTGGTTGCTATGGAAAAATGAGTATTCCCTGACCAGTTGTCGCAGGTTTGCTTGCTGTCAGTCGGTGAAATTGGTAAGAAAGAGAAGGAGAGAGCAATGCTGTACCAAAAACTTGATTGCTGCTAGCAGATGCCACGGTTGCCGGTAATTTGCATGGGAGTTGCTGACTTGTCTGCAAACACTCTCCAACTGCTTGCTAAGCAGTTGTAAAACTATGAAGAGCACAATGCAAACCAGATACTGTCTGACTTCACAGTAAGAGTTGCATTTTTGGAAATGTGTTGCTTTGAGCAGTAAAGGTTCTTGATGAATATTCTTAGCTTTCAGTTTGTGTAAAACTTCAGTTTCCCTCATGCTCTGGGGTTAGTTTGTGAGTAGGGCTGGGCCATATCATACTGTTCACGGTATCCATCCATCCATCCATTCGCTTCCGCTTATCCTTTTCAGGGTCGCTGGAGCCTATCCCAGCTGTCATAGGGCGAGAGGCAGGGTACACCCTGGACAGGTCACCAGTCTGTCGCAGGGCCAACACACAGGGACAGACAACCATTCGCACTCACATTCACACCTAGTGACAATTTGGATTTTCCAATTAACCTATCCCCACAAGTTGCATGTCTTTGGACGGTGGGAGGAAGCCGGAGTACCCGGAGGGAACCCACGCAAACACGGGGAGAACACGGTAATACTAGTATAATATTAGGCAACGATAAGAAAATGAAATATCGCAATAGAATATGAAAAAACGCACATGTGCAGTGCCTTTGTTTTCATATGCACATGGCAGAAAAAGCATGGTGGCGACGGAGAATGAGAAGGGCGACAGCGGATCGTTGAATGAAACAGATGAACCAGAATTCGTTTGTAAAAATGCTGCAACTTCAGTGGTGTGGAACTGGTTTGGTTTTCGACCATCAAAGCACTATTTTTGGTAGAGCATGCAAGCAGGCCGTCGTTATTACCATGTTTTTCAGAAAATAAGGCACACTTAAAATCAATCCTTTGATTTTCAGAAAAATCGACAGTGCCCCTTATAATCTGGTGCGCCTTATGTATGAATTCTGGTTGTGTTTACTTTGCACTACTCTGCCTGGTTTACACCCAATGTCATTTACCCTTATATTGTATATTGTATAGCTTTCTTGTTATATGTAAAATTGTATTATATTTATTTAATTTCTTTTACTTTAAAATATTTTACTTGCATTTTTAATCACTCTTATATTTAAATGTTCATTTTTTATTTTATCTAGGGATTGAGAGTAACGAAGTTTCTATTCTCTGTATGTCCTGTACATGTGGCAGAATTGACAATAAAGTTGACTTTGACTTTGACCTCCAACGGATTTTATGTGATACACGGTTAAAAAATCTGTCAAAAATGTTTTAGTACAACTTTGCTAAGCTACAAAGCCGCACCGCTTGATGGATTGTCAGAGCATTACGGCTACCGTAGTCTCACGGAATAATACGTACTGGGCTTGAACATAATGTGTGTGTATAACCTCTTTTTAAGTTTTGTGGATATTATACATGGTTATACTCAGGATATGTCAGCCAGTTTCCACTGGAAATGCCTTTTGGTTAAACTGTCAGCAAGGAATTTGTGAAGATGTTTCAGCTCTCATCCAAGTTCTAAAAACAGAGGGTTGAGAGTCTCAGGTATTAAAACTGTAGTGAGTGTCGTCCGCTTTCGAAGTGACTGTTGACCCACTGTTGATCATGTGAGTCATCATGCGAGCCAAGGTGCAAAAAAACCCCCCCCCCAAAAACAGATGTGAGTCATTACAATCACCGGGGGTTAAAGGGGAAACCACTTGCCCCACCCTATCGTGTGGCCTATCAAGGTCACCTGAGGTCGATAGGGGAAGTGCCTGAGAAGGGATCTCAAGATTGCATTTTATGTAGCTGATAGCTACGCATAATATTGACACTGAAGTCTCAGAATCAGCAAACCTGATGATTAGTTTTACATTAGAACTCATTATTCATTAATAAGTTGTGTTAACACATTTTAAGGCAATAGGGGAAACAAGCAGACTTAATGAATCAGACTTAATCAGAGGTCTGACTGTCAACACTGTTTTTCCACTGTAAGATAAAAATATTCAAAGATGAGAAAAGGAAAAATGTAGTAACATGTGTTTCTCCCCCCTTCGCTTCAAGTCCCTTTCCTCTTATATATGAACATGGGAGTTGAAAGAAACACCTTCCCACCTCCTGCACAGCTTCTCTGAGTGACCTGCCATGACCTCATAATACACAACAACTGTTCTGCATCATGGCTCCCTTTTATAGATGCGTCACTGTACGAAGCCTGCTCCACAGGTCACGTCAGTGTTCATGTTTAAATGTGACACTGTGTAGTGCTGTATAGCAACCGGGTATGTCTATAGACCGCAGCACCAGCAGCAGTAGCAGATGCTGAAGCTGTACATGGTGAGCCGTGTAGCCGACTGTTGTCCTGTCTGGCAGGTCATCTGTCTGTCTGCCTGGATGTCTGCTCCACTGCCTGTTGCTGTGTTTAGATACAGATAACACGAACAGCCCTTCGCCTTCAGGCAGTTCCTCTTATCTGGCCTCCATGTACGGCTACATCATCTGTTGGGACAGGGGTATACAAGTCTTCTCTTGTCTTCTCTTATTTTGTCTTCTGTTTTGGGCTTTTTTTCTGTTCTGCTTGTCTTCTAAAATACATACTCTGCTTTTGTAACTGCCTGTCATGTTTGGGAAAAGTGCTCTTCATAAATGTTTGTACACTTGCTCATATTTATTTTGAATCCTTCCTTAAATGTAATATTTGATGTCTTACCGTGGCTTACGTAGTCATCAATTTTAAGCGTTTATTGATACTTACATAATTATTTGTAATAAAGATTTGTCTAATTTAATTTCTTTCAGTTAAAAATCATATTGTCTTTTACATGTTTAGCCAGCACAAAGCAGAAGTCATGATGATTGAACATTATACAGATGTTGTACAGTTGGACCAATGTTTTTGGCTTTCCTTCAGTAATGACTGATACTGGTGTTGTTGAATGCTGGCTGCATGTTTGTAAATGCAATTTAAAACTGTGTAAGATTTCTTTCTTTCCCTGGTATTGGTGCAAAATTTCACAATCAGTGCACCCCGAAATGTAACTTTCTCAACTTAGCTTTGCTCTTAACAGCCTTTTAAAAGGAAAGTTATTAAATGAACTATAAAAAAGGGCTTATTGTTAAAATGACACAAAGGGCTCCAGTAGAGAGAAGCTGCTGCCAGCTTGAATAATCTTTTTTAATTTTTCTAAGTGCAAATAAAGCACTTGAGAACAGATTTGTAGCCTTTTATTTGTTCTTGTAAAAAGTGAAAGGGGTATTAAAATCGGCAGCATTCCAGTTTTCTTAATTGCTGCCAAATGCTTGTGTGATTCTGGTTTTGCTTTAGGAAATGTTGGCAGTGTGGACGACAGGGCGTTTAAAAATGTTTTTTTTATGAACTTGCCCAGTGTGATAGGAGCAGTGTCCGTCTTCACATTGAGGTCCTGATCTCACACACTTGTCTGCGTGCTGTCTCTGCTTGGTTTTGTGGGACTCTTTCTGTTGTTTCTTCTGCACATCTGGTAGAACATGTGGCCCTCAATACTGAATTAATGTGTTTGTCTATGCATTATAGAGCCTTCACGGTTATAAAACCACAACTGCCGCTTTACTGGAAGCTCATTCCAGAACAAGCCACCAGCCGTAACTACATCTATTAACACCTGCATACAAGCAATACAATAATGTCATATCTAAGTACTCTCTTTGGGCTCTAAAATGATGTGCATAAAGTGATTCTCACACATGAATTGTGGTAGAAGTTTATGCCAGAAGTTGCCTTTTCTTACTAGTAGTATGATCGACATTAGGGGCATGACTGTCCTTATCTATTGTTCCCACTATATAATCCCGTATACAGCTCTGTTGCCATGACAGATTTTGTAATCATTACTGAAAATCCTTTGTTTGGTTTAGATGAAGGTGACAGGACAGGAAGCACACAGTACATCTGATTGGACTATGTAGACAGTGAGACAAGTTTTGTAATTTTTGCCTCAGTATACCACCATGTTGGACCTTTAGCTTTAATTCAACAGAAGTTTTGGTTTACCAGTTTAGGAGTTACAGCCATTTTTATACATAGTCTCCCATTTTTACAGTTAATTGGACAGCTGACTGACAAGCAATTTCATGGCCAGGTGAGATTTGTGGCCTTGTTAGTCCGTTATTAGTAAAGCTAAAAAGTGTTGAACTTGAATTTGGTGTCTTTTGACTGGAACCTTTGAGTGAGGTCCAAACAAAACTGATGCGAAGGAGTGAAGTGAAGAGATTGCAGAACTTTAATCAAAAGCACTCTAGAGAGGTAAGTGAATCATTGTCAAAGTCTCAAATTGAGAGGTTCCTTCATTAATGGAAATACAGACAGTTTACCCCCAGGTTACACAGAAGAACAGGAAGGACAGACTAGATAAATAAGATACCATCTCTTATTCAAAGCCAGATAAAACAAACATTAACCTGTACCAGAATGATGGGAAGAGAAGGAAAAAAGCGGCTTTTGAGGCAGTGTTACGATGAAGGCATGCATGACTGCCATTGGAAGCGGGAAACCAGTGTTTATTGATAATGGGACTGCTGATAGGATAAGCAAGATGAATATTGAAGTGTACAGGACTATACTCTCTGACAGCTTCAGCCAAATGGATCAGACAGCGCTTCACAGTTCAAATGGATAATGACCCAAAGCATACCGCAAAAGCAATCAAAGAGTTTCTAAAGGCAAAGAAATGGGATAAAGTTAGCGACCTAATCTCAACTCAATAGAGCATGCGTTTCAGTTGAGACAGCACTGAAAGCAGCAACAGAAGGTGGCTGCAGTAAAAGCCTAGCAGAGCAGCTCAAGAGAGGAAACGCAACATTTGGCGATGTCCATGTGTTTAAACTTTCAAAAAAACCTTAGGATTTGTCCAATTATTCTTTTTGAGTCTTTAGAAAATATGGCCACTATGTATAAAAGTGGCTGTAATTCTTGAACAGTTAATGCTCACATTTTTTGGAAAACCCTGTGAAATAAACCTGAAGTCTGCAATTGACAATAACTGTAATATTTAGACTTGCTGGCCAGGCTAATGTCGCTTTCATGTTACTGCAGCTGTTCCTCTCACATACTGACGGACTGACTTCCCACAGTAAATCAGCTGTTAGAATTGAATCCCTGACCAGTGCAGCTCGATGCAGCTTTGCTGTTACAAACATTAGAGGTGGAGACGAATGAACCATCGAGGACTTGATTTTTAGTTTAATGACATATTTTCTGTCTGCTCTTCACGTGGCTTTTCTGCTCATCTCTTGCAGAGTGCTCCGAGCTAAAGCTAGCTGCACAGTTAAACTGTCTTCACTCGCAGATGGGCTCACAGTTTGGCCTGAGAGAGTCGCTGCACTGCGTTGCTGTTTTTACAATTAAAATGTAAAATTACTAAAAGAAAAAAGGAAAGTTATGCGTGATATGGCAGATTTAGGTGTCACACTATTATCCTTGTCTTTTGGCCACACTAATCCTGCATGAAAATCTGTTGCCATGACAGCCCTTGTTATCGTTGCTGTAAATATTTAGTTTAGTTTACATGGAGGTGACAGGACAGGAAGCGCACAGTAGACATCTGATTGGACCGCATGGACTTTTCTCACATGTAGTCGATTGGTGCAGCAGGCAGAAGGGTTCTCAGGCTGCAGTGCGTGCGAGTAAATGGTTCTGTAATTTGATATCAACTCAATTAGCTTGAAAAAGCCGCTCTTCAATTTAACTTTGTCTGCTGTTCACAGCAACCTCACGTTATCTCGCCTGCTGTTTAACTTGTTATCACCGTACAGCTACCTTTTGCTGCCAGACACGGTATCAACTCACCACAGCTCAAATTAAAGTGCAGCGAATGCCCTGCACATTCAGGAGGCAGAGCATTTTTAAATTGCAAAAAACGATCTTTGAGTAGACACAATTTTTGCAGTTGAAATTTTTCTCTAGGAGTTTGATGAAGATAAAAGCCATCTGTCCTTTTTTACATGTGGATGTATGTTTTCTTTAATGTAGCAGCAAGCCGTAGACCTTCATCACATATTCCGTGTTTTCTGCATGATGTAGAGCTGCATCGTCTCAATCCTTTGGATGTGTGTTTGTGTGTTTATGCAGCCCTAATTTCTCTCATCTCACTCCTTCCACCAGATGCAGCAGGTGAGCATGCAGCCCTCCACAGACAGCGGTCTCTGCCCCATCGGCCTCCTGTCATCCCTCTAGTGGCTCGCATGGCTGACCAGAACACATCTGGCACTCCAGCCATGACCGAGAGGGAAGCGTCCCGCCTAGATAAGTTCAAACAGTTGTTGGCAGGACCCAACACAGATCTGGGTAAGAGAAATTTGTCCACCAGTCTCCATCTGTCAGTGTTACAATGTGTTCTGTTACTTAGTTCACTTGTCTCGCTATTACTTTGTCTCTCTAGCGTTGCCTTATTTCTTTTGTTCCCTGAACTCTTTCACGTTTTCATTTCCTTGCACTCTTTTGCTTCCCACTCTGTCTGCCAGCTGTGTCGTGCTTTTAACAATGCTGCGAGGGAGAAAGTCATCCAGCCATCTGGACATGCAGATTACAAGGGGGGAAAAAATACCCCAACAACAAAAGCCAATGACAGGCCTTTGTTCTAACCAAACGACAGGCCTTTATTGTTTATCCAACCCAAGAGATGTTGTTTGCTACCACTGCTTACCCCAGTGGCCGTGAAATCCTTGTGAACTCTTTGCATTTGACTCTGTGTCCTTTGTAACTAACTTTTGGCAACTTGTGCGCATTAGCTTGTTGCATCGATTCCCTTGTTTCAGGTAATTAAGTTACATCGAAGTAGTCATCAAACGAGTTATCTGAGTGCAGAATGCTGAGTTTTGCGATCCATCAAGTGACTAGTCTGCAATTTGCAGCATGTTATGTGATGAAATGCCTGTGATTTTGGCTGGAGAACATTGCTTCTGAATTTGTGGAATTATTGCAGTTGTTATAGCAATGGTTTAAATCACAGCAAGGTGGGAAAGCAGGGAACGAAGAAAAATCCCACATTTTACTGAGGTGTCTGCAGTTGTATTCAGGGTTGGATGAACATATGTCAGTCCTTCATGAAGAACAAAACACTGGACCACAAACATTGTTTGACAAAAAAAAGTTAAATGTGGAACTGTGAAAAATACATACGTAAATACTTAAGTGAGGCCAAGCTGAGGCTTAGAGCTGCTTGTCTCAGCGTATATACACGTCTGTCAGTTACCTTTGACAAAATCCAAGTCAGTGAGTTGTTAAGAAACAAGTAGTAAAAATAGCACCCACAATACAGTTGTTTTATCACACGGAAAACCTATAGAGACCAACATAGTATATACTAAAAAAATCACATATTGACATTTGAACAGTAAACCTGAGACTAATGACCAAAAATTGTAGATGTTTGTCTTCTTCCTCGTTAGTTTGACCTGAGGTTACCTTTGGTCAGAGCAGAGACTTTTAAAAGCGGCTGAGTTCGTGTGGATTACTGGTGCAGGATGAACTGTAAAAGTCGAATGTCTTTTAAAAGCCCTTTTGCTTTTAGACCCTCGTTGAGATTAAAGACGTACACCTGATGTCCTTGGGTTGTTTTTGTGTATTTAAGCTGCGTGTATGTGTTTGTTGAATGTGGCTGACAAAACGTAGCGAGGCCACTGTGGTGAATTTGATAAAAACAAAACAAAACCACAAACTGCAAGGCTTATGAGGAGAATTGGTTATGCGCCTGTCTAAATACACTAAATATGCTAAATGCAAAAAGCTGTGTCAGACGTATTTCAGCGCAGAAACGACACAGTTTAAATACCGTGCCTTCTATTTTCAAATGACGACTGTGGTCTTAATTTACCGCAACCGAAAAGCTTTCAACGTGTATTTGAGACAGTGTATTATTAGAGACAAACATTTTCTTCAGGTTTTTCTTTACCTGATCACATTTAAGTAATTTCCTTGTTGTTTTTCTCATCTACTGTTTGTGCCTTGGTGATTTACTGTTTTGCTCTTGGTGCAAAATCAATGCTTTCTCAATCTGTTTCACATTAAACTGCATCCTGCATTCATATTGTCTTTCTTGGAAACATTTGAATTACAGGCCAACTGATACTGGAATTTTGAAGCTGCTTGAAAGAAAATAAGGAAAGTAATTTTCAAAACAGTTGTTGAGTAATAACAGGTTGAGGGAGCTAAAAAGGCAGCAACTTAGCTAACCTGGCTCCAAAAGCAAATCAACTTCTACAAACATCCATATATATTTTATAACAAAAATAAACATGCTGTGGCCAAAAAATTTCCCTCCTAATATCCCTCCTTATAATAACTATAAATTCAATTAATTTTATATCCCATTAAATTTTATTTATGCTTTAAGATGTGCATTATTAGGTTTAAGCCCCTCTATGTTGTACTGGTGCCTTTGGGTATATTTAATTAATATGCTAGCACTAATGATAACATATCGAATATCCCGTGAGATGTATCCATAAATCATGTCAATGCATCAAGCTAGCTAGCATTAGCTAATAACCTAGCACTCCACCCTTGCATCCAAATATTTTACTTCTGGCTTCAAAATCTAACAAGCAAAAAGTAATTTGCAAGTTTGGTCAAAAATATTAGTATGCAAAATAGTGACATCATAGTGCCTACAACCGTCTTTTATATACAGTCTATGTTTATAGTGGGCACACATACCTGTTGTGTAGTTATTCAGGCTTTAATTTGCAGCAGTGTTTTATCCAGTTTACTTAGAATGTAATCATTCTCAGTAAATTTGTGCTATTGCCATCATTATTGTTTGCAATCACATCTTAATTGTTACATTAATCTGCATTCTCATCACCTAATGGCTTAATACATGGTACTGGTTGACTTGCAGTTTGAATCAAAGTGTGCAAAATTAGTGTCCCTTGGATGACTTTGCGGATGCTTAACTTTGCACATGTAGACTGTTTTAATGTGTACACACACACACACACACACACACACACACACACACACACACACACACACACACACACACACACAGTGGGCATTAGCTACGATCCTAAAATGTAAATGTAGGATTTCATTAGGCTTGAATAGCCTTCGTCAGCACACTTCTTCACCCCTTGAAAACTTTTCTAACAAACTGGTTCACAAGTCATCAGTGTTAGTCAACAGCGGTTGCGGCCGGCTCGGGAAAAGTGTATCTTGCACATCAGCAGAGTGTCTTGAGATGTCAGCCCCCATTAAGGCCTGCCAGGCATCACATGCTGACTGTCTAAATTTAGTTTAGTCCCTGCACCATGATTAGATACCCCAGAACGGGCGAGCCACGCTGCCGGCTGCTGGCAGCATGAAAGATGAACTTCATTCACAGGACATAATTAAGTGAAGGATTGGAGGAGAAGGGGGGTGCTGAGAGGTGATAGGGAAGGGGAGAAGGATGGGGCAGATAAGATAAGATAAGATGAAACTTTAATGATCCCCGTGGGGAAATTGGGTCATTGCAGCTCCAAAGAATGGGATATAGATGAAAATACAAAAGGAAAAAAATAAATTGCCAACATCTGATGGAATTTAAGCCTGTTGTAAACACAAAGGTAAATAATATCACTGTGTGCTCACAGTTGGATGATTTGCTTTTGCCGTTACTTAGATTATTTTCAAAGACTTTTACAGCTCCCTTTTTTTTTTTTTACAATTTAAGAAGTTTTCATTTAAAAGTAAGATGACCAGACACATACCACTCCTTGTCCTTTAAGGGCAGGCCATTATTTCTGCTGCTGCCTGGGACGCATTAATGCTTATACAATTCGCACATACATACCAGCAGACTGTGTCAGTGGGGATGACACCCCCTGGTGTGGAAGGGAAATTTGACCGACTGTCCTTGAGCTCAAAGGACGAGGGTTGGGATGATCCATTGGCTGGTTGCTCGCTTGAATGGTGTAATTAATTGCAGAGGCAGCCATGTTTTGGGGCCAAGCCACCTGACATGGTTGGTCTGCCAGCCTCTAGAGACCAAATGTAGAGATGTGTGTGACTTGGTGCACAACCCAGCACCATTGGTCACACAACTTAATACTTGGTTATGTACTACTGGTATTTGCCCAAGAAATAGTTTGGGTGCATTATATAAATATTGCACCTGTCAGTACATTATTTCTTTTTCTTGATCATCTTGCTTCAGGATCTCCTTTGCATTCAGAACTTTAACACCGCTGTCAGTTTCTCTCTTAACTGTCTCTCTCTCTTCATTGAACCTGGCGACAGGTTGTGACAGCAGTCTGTTTAGCATGTAAGGTCATGTAGAAGGTGATGACCTGTACGCTTGTAAGAGTAGAGTGATTGATGTCAGGTTGATCTCTGCTAATTATTCCTGATGTCCTGAGGCGAGCCGGTCTGTTGAGTGAACCTGAACACAGCACCCACGGTATGCACAGTGAGGGGGAAGCTATTTTAGACAGAACTGAGGGGGAAAGGGGGAAAAAATGAGTCCCGTCTACTACAGAGTAGAACTTTTGCAGTTTCACATTCCATGTTACAAGTGAAACACTGAATTTTTTCCACAGTGAAAAAATATATTTAGCGAGTTAATAGAGGTTTTTATTTTGTTTTTGTTTTTTTTGGGGAGCTGTACTTCAGATTCAATGCAAATCGCATCTCAATGAACCCAAAATGTACTTATTTTTTCCATTTGTTTTAGAGAAATGGAAGAAGAGATTCAACCATTAATTATTTTCATGATTAATCAATCAAGTGTAAGCTAATACTGAAAAATTTAATACTTGGACCCCATGGTGCTGAATAGCCCAAAAACCAGTGATACAAATTATTCATTATATCAGAAAATATTGAAACATCTCCATACAGCTTATTAAATGATCTTGTTTCTCTTACAAATGCTTCAGAAGTGACAAAACCATTACTATGGCTATTTATAAGCACTGATGGATTCATTGTTGGGATCACCTCAGACTGCTTCAATTAAAGCTTTAATGGGAATGATTAAAATTAGTCACCGTCAAATTAACAGATTTATTTATTACATTTATTAGATATTTGGACCGACACTTAGCCTAAATGATTTTTAATTTTCTTGACAGGTGGCATTGCAGTTCAGTTCATGCTTGGAGGTATGACTAAAAGTTTTTATCACGGTGCTTCTGAAAAGTTCTAGCAGTTTTCATGGTGGCATTATTATTACTCTTATTACTGTTGTTATTATTGCTTGATTGGCCTTTATGTAGACTTATGTTGGCTTAATATACTGTCCGAAGTGCTTAGAATAAACATTTTATTGTTGTGATAAAAGCTAAACTGTTTCACCATCTTTACGG